TTGCAGCTGTTGAATTAACTTTTCCTGGGTCCTTGTTGCTTTTATGAGATCCCTCTTTCCTAGTCACTAGCTGCCATGCTCTCGTCAAAGTCTGAGAGTCTATCTTCAGCTTCATTCAAGCAGTTTTGGCAGCTTTCAGTGGCAGCTTTGTTTTCCTGGAAGTCTCTTAGAATCTGGTTCATGTGTTCTAAGTCCTTTCTGTTTTTTTCATTTAACACTTCCATCCATTGCCTTTGTTCTTCTACTTTCTTATATGCTTCTTCTTCAGACTTTTTGAGCAGTTCTTTCATTATTCTTGTCATTTCATTTTTTGCCTGAGAGATTATTTCTGATCTCATCTCTTCTATGGCCTTATGGAGTTGTTTCTTTACTTCCATTGCAATCATTTCAGCTATTTTAGCCATGTGTTTACCAAGTTGTCCTATGTCGATGTCTCCTGGACTTGTTCTGAGTTGGGTGGAGTTCTGGGATTGTGTTTTAGTCCTTCATTTTGTCATGTTTGCTACCGGATGCAGAAAGCTCAGTTTCCCTCTTCAATGGCTGCACAGCAAAGGCACTAGTGTCCCTAGTTTCCTGTTGGTTGGTTTGCCCCTCAGTGATCCCTGAGAAGCACTACTTAGTCTAGGCTTTTCCGGTAGTTGTTGATTTGTATCTAGTTATCCTAGGTCTCAGAAGTGGGCATTGGTGTCAGCTGATGGCAGACCGTCTGATCCAGCGTCCCCTTGCATTCATGGCACGTGTACGGCCCGAACTCAGGTTGCACTTATGTGATCATCCTGGTCTAGTGGGCCTATGTCCCCAGGCCGTTTAGGGTACAGGGAAAACCCAGACATGAACTGCAGGGTCGACAGTTTGTGAACCACCTGATTGTGTGTCTCCAGTCAGTTCAGGACACATACCGGAGCCAGATTCAGGCCAGATGTCAGCAGTCACAACGTGTCTGTGCCTGCGACCCCCCAGCGGGTCTGGGCACAAGTAAAGCACGGACTTGAACTGCTGGACCAGCAGCTCTTGGAGCACTTGCTTACTCGGGACAGGGCACTCCCAGGGAGAGCTCACAGGTGCACCCCAGGTCAAGTAGTCCCTGGGACTTCTGAGTGAGGACCTCCTGTCTGCCACGGGTGCACGGAGGGCAAGACTCAAAGACTGTAAGGGCAGTGGGGTCCTGGATTGCCCGCTCTGCCCCCAGGAAGTAGATGGCAAATACCTGGAGCTCTTCACAAGTTTCAGCTGGGAACCGTGGTGGTGGGAGTAAAGCTTGGGACTCGAACCATGGGACCAGCAGCCCTTGGAGCACTTGCTCACTCAGTGCAGGGTGCGTGCAGGGAGGGGCCGCCCGCGCATTCCAGTGAGAGCCTTCCCTGGGGCTGCTGAGTGAGAACCTCATGTCTGGCTCTCTCCTTGAGTTTCAGCTGGGAACTGGCGGTGGGAGTAAAGCATCGACTTGATCCACGGGACCAACAGCTCTTGGAGCATTTGCTCACTGGGTGCAGGGCTCATGCAGGGAGGGGCTGCCCACACACCCCAGCTAGAGCAGTCCCTGGGGCTTCTGAGAGAGGACCTCCTGTTTGTCGCGGGTGCACAGAGGGCAGAGACTCAGACTGTAATGGCGGCAGGGTCCTGGGTCGCCTGCTCTGCCCCCAGGAAGTAGATGGGAAATACCTGGCTCTCTCCTTGAGTTTCAGCTGGGAACCATGGCAGTGGGAGTAAAGCACAGACTCGATCCGCAGGATCAGCCTACTTTATATATTTTCTAATAGCCATTTTAACTCTTCTATATCTTTCACTTTTGTTTTAAAAAATATTTTATAGTGATTGTTATGGGAATTACAGTGAGCATTTCACTTGAAACAGTGCATTTGGGATGAATACTAACTTGATTTGGATAGTATATGGAAAACTGTTCCAAAATAGAATCTCTTTCCTCTTTTTGCTATTACTATATTTTCATGCAAATTACCTTTATATATAATAAACACTTTAACACATTTTTATAATGACTGCTTTCTATTATCTTTTAAATCAGAGTGAAGATTAAAAGGATTGAGTCATATTTCATGTTCCTCACATATTTGTGCATCTAGTTAACTGTTAGTGCTCTTTCTCATATTACTATCTAGTATTTTAGCACAAAGGGTCCTTTTTAGTATTTCTTTCGAAAAGCAAGTCTTCTAATAACAAATTCTGTTTTGTTTTGCATTTTTGCCTAATCTGAAAAACTTTTCAATTTACTTTATTGAAAAGATGTTTTGTTGGATGTCACATTCTTCTTTGACAGTCTTTTTCTTTTAGCATTGATCATCACATTGTGTTCCGGGTTTCATTACTGGAAAGTGAGTGGTTAAACTCATTGAGGATGCCATGTGTATGAAGAACCATTTTTCCCTAAAAGTGATTCTTTCACAGAATCACTTTTAGAAGAAGTGATTCTTCTTCACTTTTAGCACTTTGACTGATGTGTCTACATATGGATCCCTTTGAATTCATGAAACTTCTTGGTGGTATCTCCTGAAATTTGGAAAATGGTTACCCATTATTTCTTCAAATATTTTCTCTTTTTCTGGATTTCCCAGTGTACTTGTGTTGGTACTCGTGATGGTGTCCCACAGAATTCATACTCGCTTCATTTTTAATTTTTAAAAAATGTGTTCCTCAGACAGGTTAATTTCAGTTAGCTTACTTTCAAGTTCCCTACTTTATTTTTCTGCTTAACTGTGGTGTTGATTCCATCTAGAGAATGTTTACTTTATAATATTTTTAACTCTATACTTCCTAGTTCATTCTTTTTATGTTTTCCCTCGTACTCTAGTGAATGAGACATTGTCATAATTTCTTTCAACTCTTTATACATTGTTTGCTTTAGTTCTTTGGAGATATTTATAACCTATTCATAATTCATAATCTATTATGTCCACCTACTAGCTGACATTTTATAGCATATTTCAAATTTGAGAATTCATAATTCTCAGGGACAAGAATGCTTTATTCTTTGTTTTGGTTTTATTTTAGTGATATTTTGGATAGTTCTCTAAAACCTGTATTCTTTATAATGTGCAGACAGTGAAGTTTCTGCCAAGTTACGATTGTGACACTAGTCAGAGTTTTTCTTAGATGCCTTTAACCAGTAACTCTTTCAGCCTTTGCTGAAGGACTCAATGTGTATTGAGGAAAGCTCTCAGTGTTCATAAAATTTTTGACTCTGTCTTTGCCTCTTTATTTTTGCTTGCATTGGGCTTCAGAGCTGAGATACTGAGGCCTTCTCAGGTATTTTCTGGGCATATGCAGAGCAGTTTGCCTTTTAGATCTCCAGGAAGTGGAGGCTTTTTCTCAAATCCTGTAGGCTTCCTCTTTCTCAGATCTTCCCTGTGGACTCTGACCAGGCTCTTAATTGTCCCCAGCTGATACTCTAGTCTTCCGCAGCTATGGTGGCAAACAGTTGCCAAGGATTGTTTTAGATATATGCCTCCAGAGTATGGCTTTTCTGCAAAGGAAGTCCTGAATTGGGTCAAATAATGAAAATCTCTTTTTCTAGGAGCTTTGGGACAGGTCAGGTAGTGATCATTTTCTAAGGATGAGGGGGCTTTGTAAGAGGAGCTTTCTGTCCAATTTGCCTCTCCTGGTGGCTAGGAAAGCTCCTGATTTTCATAGCTGCTGACTTTCCAGATTATTCCAGAACTGGGGAGAAGGGGCAGTAATAAGGCAAGTCAAAAGAACAAAAAGTTCACTGTCTTAATGAAGGTTTAGCAAGTTTACTTTAGTAAATACTTATTGCTGGGAATATTGCATGCTTATAATCCCAGCACTTGGGAGGCTGAGGAAGAAGGATCCTTGGGAATTTGTACCTGGGTGACATAGTTCAAGGCCAGTTTAAACTACAAGTGAGATCCTCCATCTCAAAAAAAAAAGCTTATCAAATTATTAAGAGTCTTCGGTTTATTTCTAGAGTTCTGTAACAGTCAATAAGGGCAAGTTTTCTAGAGTTTGCATTGTGTTTATAGAAGAACAGATTTATAGAGGTCCTGTTTCCCTTATGTCTATATTTTATAAGGTTCAGAGATCCCTCAGGCATCTGTAGGCTCTGGCCTAAGTATCCGAGTCAGTTACTCAATTTAGTTAGATTGACTTGAACCATGTAATGCGTGTAAGAAGGCGTTGTTTATTGACCAGGACCATCATATTAAAAGTATGATTTTTATATTCAAAAGTAATTTTCAGATTCTGGGAATATAACTTAAAATACGAGTCTTGTCCAAAGCACAGAGATTTTTTCCACTGGTGTGAACTCTAAAATAATATAGTCAGGCTGAGGTAGGAGGATCGTTGTGAGTTCAAGACTATCCTAGGCTACAAAGTGAGCTAAAGGGCAGCCTGAACTGCATAGGGACCCTGTCTCTAAATAAATAAATGAATGAATGAATGAATGAGTACATCAGTGATTTGAAGTAATAGCATGCTACCTTAAGAAAGGTGTTTTTCCATAATTTATACTTCCAAGATGCTATTTACCACTTTTTCTAGTCAAAAAATAATATCTAATCTCCTGCATGTCTTACATTCCAACCTATATTCTGAATGCTTGGCTTTACCTCACTCATTACTCAAAACACGTTGGCAAGGATATTTACATTGGTATTTCCATTTAGAAACTAAGGACACTAAAAGCTGAAAAGCAGAAAAGTTAAATAACATGTCCAAGATAATATAGTTAGAAAGTGATGAAACTGGAATTTGCACCCTAGTCTCTCTGCCTCCAAAGGCCATGCTCATTGTTTATCTACCATTAATTTGTGAATTTGTACTTTGTTATATAGATGTAATGAGAAATCACAAGCCGCGTGTTGTATAAAGACTATTATTTATGTAACTTATGCAAAGGAAAATTAGCCTTGTAAAACTTCAACATCATTTTTAATGAGATAATAATTATCAGGCTAACAAGTTATTTTAAGCAGAACTGGACAGAATTACATGATTTGCTGATATCAACAATTCTTCTGTAGAGACTGATAGAGCAGCGTGATACTCTGAAAGAAACAAATGAAGAGCTTCGTTGTTCACAAGTACAGCAGGATCACCTAAACCAAACAGGTGAACTTATTTAAATTTAAAATTGGTTTTATTAATGGTTGAAATACTGAAACATTAAATTGTTTTTCATTATGTAGACATATCTGCTACAAAGAGTTATGAGAACCTTGCTGCTGAGATCATGCCAGTGGAGTACAGGTAAATCTGTTTTCAGTGATAATCCCAACTTAATATGAGGGTGTGATTTTTTTCATTTCTTTTTCTCCCTCTTGTAAATTGTTTGATCTATCTTTTTTTTTATGTGTGTGTGTGTGTTATTGACATTTCTCATCTTAAACTTTCTAGATCATATTTTCAGTACTATCATAGCAATTTAAAAATTTATCAGAATTAAAATTTTACAGAATGGCTCCATAACATATTGTAGTTTTTTTAACATGACTTTTTTGTTAGCTTTCTTTTTTTTTTTTTTTTTTTTTTTTGGGTTTTTCTCCGGTACCAGGAACCGAACTCACGACCTTGCGCTTGCCAGGCAGGCGCTTTTTGCCGCTGAGCTAAATCCCCAGCCCCTAGCTTTCTTTCTCTTTAAAATAACAAGACTTTTATTGTCTAAATTATTTTTCTCTTTGTTTGTTTGTTTGTTTGTTTTGAGACAGGGTTTCCCTGTGTAGTTCAGGCTGACCTTGAGCTCACTTTGTAGCCCAGGCTGGTCTTGAACTCACAAGGATACTCCTGCCTCAGGTTCCTGAGTGTTAGGATTACAGGCATGTGCCACCACATCTGGCTATTTTTCTGTTTTTTAACTCTGAAAAATTCTTGCATTCAAATCCAGATAGGTGGAAAAGTACAAGAGTTGTCAATAGTTCAGGAAGACCAAGCAGAAGTTAAATGAAGTACAAATTTTAGAAGTTCCTTTTAATCCAACATTTTGTCTTTTACTTATATTTACTTCTAGATGTTTGATTTACAACTTTTTATTTAGATAGCTTTATTGAAATATTCATCCACTCAAAAATGTACAGTTTAGTGGGTTTTATTATACTCATAGGGTTGCCATGTGATAGCATTCTCACCACTGTCACTATCTTATGAAAACGTTTTCATTACACTGAACAGACCAATAACTATTAGCAGCCATTCTGGGTTCCTCCCTTTCCTTCAAATCCTAGCTCTGGGCAACTAATACCAATTTTCTTGTTAATGGACGTTTTATATATCTAGATTTGTATAGTATGTGGCTATTCATGACTACTACTACTTGGCATATTGTTTACAAAGTTGTTGATTTTCAGTTTGTCTAGTTTATTATTAAGATATAGTCATGACTTTCCTTACATGCTTCATTGATGTGCAGGTTTTGGTTACTAATGTCCTGTTGTTTTGGGTGGTTCACTCATTTCATTTGCACTTATCTAAAAGTGAGGAATCACACCAAAAATTTGTTTCATCTGTTTAAATTTTCAAAATCACATTGTTGTTGCTACCACAGCATTTTAAAAACTCATTAGAAACAAAATTTCACAAACTTACTAAATAACATGTTCTGGTTTTTATACCATCACTTTTCTTGCTAGGTAATAAGGTCATGTGCTGTGTTCTAAAAAGTAAACTTACTGTCTAAAGTTCATGCAATGCAAAGTTGCTCTAATTTTGGAGGTTTAATTATACAATTGAAACTTACAAAATTATTAGAAGACAAAAAATAAAACTAAGGAACCTATAATGGCAGAAATAGTAGATATGTAAAGTGAGAAGAGTTACATTTTTTATTTAGTAGTCAAATATTTGCTAAAATTAATTATTTTTTAAAAAGCCATGTTAGCTTATTTTTTATTTATGTTGTTGACATTTAGAACAAAAAATTGGGATTAATTGAAATCAGTTGCTTTTGAAAAATGAGATTTAAGAATGTAACAAGTAGGAATGTATTATCTTTTTATTTGATACTAGATAAAAATTTATAGCTTCATTTGAGTACTAAATTTGCCTTAAGAATGTATATATAAATCCTTAATAAGATTCTCCTGAAAGATATAGCCACTGATTGCTATTATAAATCTGTACTTGAAAATTTTAGACAAAGTACAGTTTCTTAAAACTTGCATTTTGAGGGGCTGAGGATTTAGCTCAGTGGCAAAGTGCCTGCCTGGCAGGCACAAGGTCTTGAGTTTGATTCCTGGTACCAAAAGAAAAACAAAAACAAACAAATAAAACTTGCACTTCATTTATAAGTATATACTTCCTTTTGTGAATAGTTTCTAAATTAATACATTAAAACAATTCATACTCTGTCTTTGGGACTTGTGTAATAATCATTTAATATTCTGTGCTGTTAATAATTTACTGTGTTTTAGAGACAGTCTTACAGTGTACATAATTTTTTCTTAAGGTATTTGAGAGAAGCTCTGAACGACTTTTAAAATAATAGCTATTGAGTGGACATGCATTTCTTTTTGAAAGAATATCATGACTTATTTTTAAAGTTTTGAAACAAATTTACTTTTCCACATCAGAGAGGTGTTTATTCGACTGCAACATGAAAACAAGATGCTTCGATTACAACAGGAAGGTTCTGAGAATGAGCGCATTGAAGAGCTACAGGAGCAGCTGGAACAGAAGCACCGCAAGATGAATGAATTGGAAACTGAGCAAAGGTGACTGCTCTTTTCTCTGTAACTGCGGACTGTGGTGATTTAGTGTCCTAGCCCTGAAACCTTCATCCTCAGAAGTAGAAAATATTGCACTAATGAATGAGCATTATCTAGAAGTAGTTTGCAGTTATTTTCTTGTTGGTAGTTTCTCACTATTGTTCACTTTACTCTATGACAGTGATTCATTTCAATCATATTATAAAGCATGTAGATGAGGATACATTAATTTCAGCAGACTTGGTTAACAAGGCCACTTATTCTTGAATTTCATTTAGATGTCTTCACAAATGACAGGAAGTTTAACAAGTTATTAAATGATAGTTTAGCTTCTTTTGCAGTCTAACGCAAAATGTATAGATTGTGGAGTCAAGCTTAAATCCTACTTTGCTTCAATTCACTAATGCTTTGTTTCTGAGAAAGTTATTTAAACTCACATTCAGTGTCTTCAGGCTATAAATATGGGTTGTTAGGAATATTTCAGATAATGTACCTAAAGCAGATGTTACATTTCTTTGTTACCAATAATATGCTCAACTATTCTTATAATAATAAAAATGTATTATATTTATGTAGTACTTACTATGTACCAGATACTTTTCAAAGCCCTTTTTTGATATTAACTCAGTAATTCTTCACAATAACTCCGTGAAATGATCGAGATTATCTCTTTTCTGTGGATAAGAAGGCTGAGATAAAGGCTGTTACCTTATTGACAGTTATTGTAAGTTCTGTATTTCACATGTGAATGTTTTTGGACTTTTGAGTCTCTACTCTTATCCACAGTACTAACCTACCTCTTGTAAATGGCACACTTATTATAAAGGTATTCGGATTTATTTATTCAGCCTTCATTTTGTTTGATCTTAGAGGTCACCAGGAATTTTAGAGATAGTTGAAACTTTTTCCATAATTAATACATATACTGTCACATAGACAGTACTAAAAGAGAAGTCACATTTTAACTTTCTGAGGAGAGGATTAACTGCTACTGTCTTGTTAGCACTGGATTTATTAAATTTCAGCTTTTAGAGAATTTATACAATATGATAGATGTCAACAGGTAGTTAGCATACTACTGATAACAGTAGCGAATTATATCAGGCAGAAATTTGTGTCGTATATATGGATACCTGTTTGTGCCTGTGCATATAGAGAAAAGAGGAGAGGTACTAACTCTTTATTGTAACTTCTAATGAGGATAACTTCTAAACCAAAGAGTTTTAAAGAATGGAATTTTGCCAGGTTAAATTATGGCCTAGTTGCTAGTGTCAGTCTATTTAATTCAAATCAAGAGTCATGAAGTCATGGTTGAAAATGGTGAACTGTCTTTTCTCCCAACACATTGTGAAATCTGAAACAGAAAAAGGAAACTTAACTTTCATTCATTAAAAATACAACTGTAGAAAAATTGAACAGTTTTCTAGTTTTTCTACCAGTGAGTAATAGTGCAGAAATGTTATGGTTTTTCATGGAAATATAGTCACGTGTTTTGAATTTAAAAATGTGAGTATATATGCTTGCAGGGATTAAAAGTCTTTTTTAGCTGGGCGTAGTGGCACACACCTGTAATCCCAGCACTCAGGAGGCAGAGGCTGGAGGATTAGTGTGAGTTGGAGACCAGCCTGGGCTGCAAAGTGAGTTCAAGGCCAGCCTGCACTGCATAGCAAGACTCTGTCTGAAAAAGATCAAAAAAGAAAATCCTTTTTAAAGTATTTCCTTAGGAAGTAGTCTAAATCTTACATATTATAATTAGTCACGGATATTTGGTATACATTTGTTATAGGAAATCAATATGTATATATATATATGTGTGTGTGTACATGTGTATATATCTAAATTGGATGAATAGAGCTTTATAGATCATTAACTTTCAATACAATTAATTACCTATGAGTTATGTTAAAATAGGCTTAGCAAAGAGCGCGTCAGAGAATTGCAGCAGCAGATTGAAGACCTTCAAAAGTCTTTGCAAGAATATGGCTCCAGGTCTGAAGGCGAAAGTGTAAGTAATTTAGAACCTATAATGCTGTGTATAAATTCTCTTAATGGTCCCTGATACCCAAATTAATCATGCACTTGAAAGTGCTACTCTTATCATTGAGGGTACCCTTAAAAACCCTATATATCTCTGTAACAGGTGCAGACATTTTTGCCAGCTGGAAGCAATACCATTATTGGTTTGATATGAGCACTACCACATTGGTGGTATATATTATAAGGTGATTTCTATTTCTCTCACTTTAACAGATATACCTAAATTCATGACTTTTGTTTTTTTTTTTTCCCCTGGTACCGGGAATCGAACTCACGACCTTGCGCTTGCCAGGCAGGCGCTGTGCCGCTGAGCTAAATCCCCAGCCCGACTTCTGGTTTAAAGTATGATACACTTGAGGGCCTCAGAACTTGCTGGGATTCCAACAGAGGTGGCCTGAAAAAAGTCCAAATGACAATCAGTAATCACAGTTAAGGAAATCTCTTAATAGGAAAATAGAGAATTAAAAAACAGAAAAGTTTCAACCAAAAGATCCTTCCAAGAAATGGAACACACTAACATAAGAGGAGCCTCTGTGCAGTATTGCAGATGTTGTCCCATATTGCTTCCTCTCTTCCACACATGCTCATTTGTATCAGCTTTCTGATGGTTTTTGGATGACACTTAGTGTGAGGGTACAGATAACAGGGCTCAACAAGAAATCAGAGTTAGCCTAAATCTCAATATAGCTGCCAGTTTTATAACTTGATTGCCCTATGTGGAAAGGAAAGTAAATACTGTTGAGAGAGGATGTATTTAATTAAAAATGGACCAAAGGTAGGGCTGGGTTGTGTTGAAGAGAGACAGATTGATTGAGATTAGACAGAATGGTGATTATGCCTGTGTTGCTAGTGGAGGGAAAGTAGCATAAGTAGAGATGAAAAGGACAACACAGAGAGTTGTATTTTCTTTCCGTCTTTTATATAGTTTCTGTCTTACATATACTACATGATTTTCTCTTTTTTCCCTTGGGGACTTGGGAAATAGAAATCACCTCATTCATGGGGCCATTTAATATATGCATATATATGGTATTGTACCCTCTCTAATACAAATATGTTTAGCCACATTAGGGAGTACTTTAAAATGGGCTTTAGGGGAGACAATTTGGCTTGGAGTCTTGTAAGGAGTTTTGTTTCTTTATATTTTATTTTTAATTTATTGGTGTCCAAGTTATATTTCAGATTATATATTTAAAACCCTGCAGCTATTTAACAGATGTAGAACTGCCGTGACAGTCTAATAAATTATTCTTTATAAGAATAAATTTTGTGCTTTAATTTTTTAAGGCAAAATTGAGTTGCTTCACTTCGATGTTAGCATAAAAATGCTTGTATTACTAATGATAAAATTTATTATTAAAGATAAATCTTAATATTTTTAATTTGAATGATTCTTTAAAAATTTAAATGTTTGGGGGCTGGGGATTTAGCTCAGTGGCACAGCGCCTGCCTGGCAAGCACAACATTGTGAGTTCGATTCCTGGTACCGGGAAAAAAAAAAAAATTTAAATGTTTGATACTCAGTATATCACATTCAGCTTGTATTTGCTATTGTTAAGTTCGTATCATTTTTATTGTGCTCAGAAGTACTTTTTCTTTCTGTCATTTTACTCTTCTTTCCTATTCTTTCTTTAAAATGTGAAAGCATACCTAAAGTTTTATGCTTTTAAAATATAATTAGAAATACAAAATTTAAAAACATTTACAATTTTACCTTTAAAAGGAGATAAAAAAATATCTGGAAAATTCATCTTTGTAAGGTAGTGACTTTATAGCAACTGTTTTTAATTTTCTAGTCCAGCAAACTAAAGCAGAAGTTGGAAGCTCATATGTAAGTAAAACTGATATTTCATTTCAAATATCAGAGAGGAGGGGTTGTTAAAGCTTCTGAAATTAACTTCACTTTTCAGATTTGATGAAAAAAGCAAGCCACTCTAATAATGATTGAATGTGCAGCATTGCCACCAGAAAGTGAAAAGGTTGTTAAAATTCTCAGCCTGTCAACTGTCCCAAACTCATGTATTTTAAAATTGATAACATCATTTGAAGAGTTTAACAAAACAGACAATTGTCACTAGTGGGTTTATGAACATTAAACCTATCAAATAGTGCCTTTATCTGCCTGGGAGATGAGGTTGGCAGGGAAAAGCTTTTTAACACCTTTACCATCCATTGTGTACCAGGCAGTGTATATCCTCATGACAGCCGGGGATGTTAGGCAAGTACAGTTTCCATTTTACATATGAGGAAACTAAATATCAGAGAGTGATGTGTCCAGATTCACAACTGGTAGGTGGCAGAGAACAATTTTCATCCTTAAGTCTGTTTGACTTGAAGTCCATCCTCTTGCCACTACTTAGGGAAAAACTAACAGAAGTCCATGAAGAATTACAGAAGAAACAAGAGCTCATTGAAGATCTTCAGCCAGATATAAATCAAAATGGTAAGTATTTGTAAAAATTTGGGTCAGACTGTATCTAAAGATTTATCTTCTTTGTTTCAAAGACGCAAAAACTATGTATATAAGTCATTTTTGCACAATGTATAGGCACACACAAAATAGGAATCACAATAACATACAGTGCTGAAATAGGATATGATCTAAACTTAAGAAAAAAGTGTAAATCTAATACAATGAACTAATTGATATATAGGAGTATCAGACATTATAAAATGTAATAGAATTAAAACTATGGAAATGTGAATAATTTCAAATTAGATTAAATGGATCTTCAAAACAATCACTTTTATGGTTATGTTTACATTTGAAAGTTTATTTGCTTATTGAAATAATTGATAGAAAAATAGCTAGGTGAAGGAGGTTATAGATAATAATTGAACTACAATTATTAGTTGTAGTTCAAAAGTTTCAGGTAAGAATTCACTATAAGAAGAAATAGTTTTTCATTTAAAATCTCTTATTGGTCTTTTAAAAAAGAAGTTTGATAAATACAATTTTGTTCAAGGATGCATTATTTTAAGTAGGTAATCATGTTTCATTTTAATTTCACAAATACTGTAGTACAAAAGATCAGTGAACTTGAAGCTGCCCTTCAGAAGAAAGATGAAGATATGAAAGCAATGGAGGAAAGATATAAAATGTACTTAGAGAAAGCCCGAAATGTGAGTGACCTATTTTTCAGAGCTCTAGCCCATTGTGGCCCATGTTCTAATGAGGCATGTTTCTCCTGATTGTACTGCTCCTCTTCTATCTGTATCCAGTTACTTTGCTTTTCACTGCCTTGTCTTGCCTGTCAAATTTTTGTGTCCTGTCAGTCCTCATATTCTCTGTCTTGCTCTCTAATCAGACTAGCATCGGATAAGATAAACACAGCATTGTATGGACAGCTTAAATGCTGACTGTAGTGACCTCACTAGGGAAAATGACTGGTGCAATGTGTAGGCCCTTTGCTTCTTTGCAAAATAAACATAGGATTTTTATTTGCTAAAATTTAGGTTTTTAAACTCATTTGAAATTATTTCAGCTTTTACTCTTGATTGAACAGTGAACATTCTAGTGCTGATTAATTTTTTTTCCTTAATATATGTATAAGTGCTATTTTCATAAAATCTTATTCCTTGAATACTAAATATAAGCATTATTTCTTAGATTAATATAGTCTTTCCTATTTATTGACTAAAAGAAGAGTTTCTGTTTTAATATTTAAATCTTCGATCTATTTTGACGTTACTTTAGTGCATGGTGGTAGACATGGGTCTAATGTTAGTCTTTGGCATGTGGAGAGCCAGTTCTTCCAGCACCATTTATTAAAGAGGCTATCTTTCTTCCAGTGAACATGTTTGACCCTTTTGTCAAAGATAAGCATGTGTTTGTGGTTGTGGCTGCATCTTCTCGTCTGTTCCATTGATCCTCAGATCTCTTTTTTTGCCAGTACCATGCTGATTTTATCACAGTAGCTTTGTAGTATAATTTCAAATCAGGAACTGTAATGCTTCCTTCCTTGCCTTTGCTGCCCAGGATTGCTTTTGCTATACTGGGTCCCTTCTAGTTTCAGATGAATTTTAGGAATGTTTCCTCTAGATCTGTGAGGTAAATCTACAGGAAGAGAAAGTAGGTAGAAATCTTGAAGACATAGGGGTAGGCAGAAAGTTCATGAACAAAAACCAAATTGGTTTTTGAGTCAGTCCTGTCAGTCCTCATATTCTCTCAAATTGGGAAATACTACTTCAAAGAATCAACAACTGGGATCTCATTTTATTGAAAAGTTTTTGCACATCAAAAGAAATCTCCCACAGAGTAAAAAGAAAATCCACAAATTGAGAAAAAAATTTTAGCCCATTGTCCCTCTGACAAAGGACTTCTGTCTACAACATATAAAGAATTTTTAAAAATCAGGCCCCCAAAATTCAGAGATCCAATCCAGAAATGGGCATCTGAGATGAATACACACTTCTCACATGAAGAAATACAAATGGCAAATAAATACATGAAAAAATGTTCAACATCATTAGTCATTCGAAAAATGCAAATTAAAACAATACTGAGATTCCATTTCACCCCAGAAAGACTGGCTATCATGAAGAAATCAACCAAAAACAAATGTTGGAGGGGCTGTGGGGAAAAAGGAACCCTTCTCCACTGTCGGTGCGAGTGTAGACTGGTGAAACCATTGTGGAAATCAGTGTGGAGAATCCTCAATAAACTAAGATTAGAGGGTCCATTCAACCCTGAGTATTTTTCCAGAAGAACTGAAAACATAGCACAGCAATATATGTGTACCTATGTTTATAGCAGTGCAATCTGTAATAGCTAAATCTTGGAAACATCCCAAATGTCCATCAACTGAGGAATGGATAAAAAGATGGGGTATTTTTATACAGTGTAGTATTACTCAACTATAAAGAGAGATAAACTCAAAGCCTTTATAGGTAAATGGATGCAATTGGAGACCATACTCGTGAGTGAACTGAATCAGACCCACATGTGTAAACATTGTATTGTCTACCTAGTATAAGAACCTGAAAGCGTAAATAAAATCTGAAAGGTACAATAGATACTGTGATGGGAAAGAAACTGCTCAAAAGGAAAGAACAACTGGGATGATGGAAAGGAGAAAAGAAAGAAGGAAAGGGAAAAAAATATATATATATATATATACTTATACACAAGATAGCTAAAGTAATTGTACTACTAATTTCTGTTGGTTTATTGAAAGGAACAGTTAATGTTTAATTGTTTGATCAATCTTGCATGCCTATATCTGATAATATGAGCACTACTTTAAAGATAGCAATATGCAGTACAAGAATCATTAATTTCCTTTTTTGAAATTCTGTATCATTTTTATTGTTTTGTGTTTTTTAAAGATAAAAACCTTAGCAAAACAACAATGAAGACAAAATCAAAACAACACAAAAACAATGAAATGATACGTGACCTCAAAATAGAATGATAGGAATTAACAAGTGTTACTACATTACACACTGTTGCTCAGTCCACCAGACATAAGAATGTAAGACTGATCAAACAAAGACAGTAGCAAGTAATAATAATTTAAAAAAATTGAAAATGGTGCAGAGCTTGACCATACAAGATGGTAGGAATTCAACAGGGGGTCTTATACTGCCTGTTGTTGATTTCAGATGAGTCGTTCTGATTACCAGATTGAAGCGTGCAAAATTGCTCAAGAAAAAAAATTTTAAGCATTGACTGTTCCTTTCAATAAAGCACAGACATCAGCAATATACCTATCCCAGCTATCCTTGTATGTACATATAAATTTTGTTTTTCATTTTAAAGAGAAAAGAAAAAAAACCCAAAATAACAAAACAAATACATAAACAAAACAGCAGAGAAAACAGTAAAAATGATACAGAATTTCAAAACATGGTGATAGGATATTAGCAATGGTTGTTACATTACATAATGTTTTCTTCGAACTGATTTCACAAATAACCAGATATAGGCATATAAGATTGGTCAAACAATTACACATTAACAGTTACTTTCAGTAAACCAACAGATACTAGTAGTACAGTTATCCTAGCTATCTTGTGTATACATATACATATTTTTTCTCTTCTTTTTCCTCTCCCCTTCCTCATCCCAGTTACTCTTTCCTATTTGAGCAGTTTCTTTTCCCTTTCACAATATCTATTGTACCCTTCAGATTTTATTTACGCTTTCAGGTTCTTATAGTAGGGAGGAAATATACAATGTTTGCACATGTGAGTCTGATTTATTTCGCTTATGAGTATGGTCTCTAATTGCATCCATTTACCTATAAAAGCCTCTAATTTATATTTCCTTATAGCTTTATAGCTAAATAATACTTTATAGCTGAGTAACACTCTCTTGTATAAAAATGCCACATCTTTTTTATCCACACCTCAGTTGATGGGCATTTGGGTTGTTTCCAAGATTTAGTTATTACAAATTGCACTTCTATAGACATAGGTGCACATACATCACTGTGGTATGATGCTTTCAGTTCTTCTGGAAAAATACCCAGGAGGGGAATAGCTTTGAATGGGACCTCTAATTCTAGGTTACTGAGGAATTTCCAGACTGATTTCCACAGTGGTTTCACCAGTCTACACTCCCACCAACAGTGGAGAAGTATTCCTTTTTCTCCACAGCCCCACCAGCATTTATTAGTGGTTGATTTCTTGAGCTATTCTTTCTGGGGTGAGATGGAATCTCAGTGTTATTTTAATTTGCATTTCTTGAATAACTAATGTTGAACATTTTTTCATGTATTTATTTGCCATTTGTATTTCTTCATGTGAGAAGTGTGTGTTCATCTCAGATGCCCATTTTTGGATTGGTTCTTTAAATTTTTGGAGGCCTGATTGTTTTTAATTCTTTATTTGTTCTAAATAGGAGTCTCTTGTCTGAGGAACTATTGGCTAAAATTTTTTCCCAATTTGTGGGTTTTCTTTGTGTTGTTTTGTTTTTGTTATTTTGTTTTTGTTCTTTTTAAAATAAAAAAAAAAATCAAGAGAATTTTATGAGGCAGCTTTAACATAGTTATAAGTCTGACTTTTTAATGTTTTAAAACTTGTGTAATATTTATGAACTAAGGTGTAACAGAAGATGAACCCAAGTTTTCAGGACTTCACAGAATTAGTTTACTCTATGATCACCTCGAGTTAGGTTGTGAAAGGAGAAGGGTTCAGCTCTGTGCAGTCATTCCAAGTACCAAGCCTGCAGAGGTTCTGCCTTCTTCAACACAGGGGCCCCACGTAGTCCACATAGTAGATGAAAAATAGTATAGGTTGCAGAAACAGTACGTGATAGATCCGGCCTGGAGATGGCAGAAATTACATTCCCATTTCAGTGGCAGAACTCTGGCACATGGCCATACCCAACTTGTAGGGAAACAGACATAGCACAACTCTGGAAGTAGACTTGATAGAGATCTATGCACTTTTTGCCGCAGTTAAGTTTCTTCAATTACAAGAGTATAAATCCTTATCACATAAAATATAAAGCTAATTACTACTAATATTTTGGTGTATTTTCTGAATAGTGCATTTTTATGTTTATCTTCCTCATGACTGATTATCATGTATGTGTGAATGTATATATATGTATATCTTAAAATTCTACTTGTTTTCTTGTGTTATATAATTGTGTAGTTTAATATTTTTTGAGCATATAATATTTAATTGTAGGGGATTACTACCCTTTAGTCATTACCCTGCAGTTGGGAATAGTTTTTATTTCCTTTATATTTTTGTTTCTAAAAATAAAGAGTATAGGGAACCTATTTATACAGAAAGCTTTCCCCTGTTTTGGGTTATTAATTTTGCTTCCTAGAAATAAAATTAATAAAGGATAAGACTGTAGTAATGATACTTATTAAGTATTTAGAAATGATTTTCTAGAAGGACTGTAATTAATTGAAAAAAATGGCAGTAAATCCTTTATGTTCAACATCATTGAGTGTTATTAAAAGATAATTATTTCACTGAGTGTTATTTAAAAGATGATTGCTTTGATAAACATTTATTTTCCTACATTATTTGAGTACAGATGTTAAAATAGTGGTTAAAATGACCTATATCCACTGTAAAAGAAATCAGGAAATATAAAAACATCACAGCCATATCTTTTATCATGTGGGGATTACAGACTGATTTAACTTAAATGACAATTTGAATTCTGTAATGTGATCTGTTGTGACTCTGTTAGGCAAGGTGCCCTGTCTCTTGTGATCTGCTAGATTCCCATCTTCCATAGTGTGTGCCTGGCACATATTCACATTCAGGAAATAGTTTATGAATCTGTAAACCCAAGGGAAAATTTGGTATCTTCTATTTTTTTTTTTTTTTTGCTTTACCTCTGTAAATATAGATGACATTTTCCTATGTCATTAAATAATTTTAAATCTTTAACAATGTATTTATATTACCTTGTACAGATGTCCTTTATTATTTTAAATTAGAAAAATATACAACCATAATAACAACAACAAAGACAAAAACAAAAAAACACAAAAACAATAAAAAGATACAGAATTTCAAAACAAGATGGTAGGAGATTAGCAATGGTTGTTGTATTACTTATTGTTATCTTCAAAGTAGTTGCTCAGATTACTAGATACAGGTATGCAAGATTGATCAAATAAACATTAACTGTTCCTTTCAATAAACCAATAGAAATTAGTAGTAAAATAATCTTAGCTATCTTATTATTGGAAATATAGTTTTTGCTTGTAACTCCTACCTTTCTAAATTGGTTTCATAACAGAACACTGTCCATATAGTTTTGGTTGCAATTTTCTGTTACATTCTGAACAAAACCTCTTTGACCCAACTTTTAGTCATTTACATACATGATTGAGTACTCTAATACTTGGAGGTAAAATCACTAGTATCCATTATATTTATCTGATACACTAATTGCACTTGACATTTGAGTAGATTATAGTAAAAGGAATGATTGCTATGAATTTTTTTTATTCTTTGTAAAATGAGCATATTCTGCTATGTTACTGAATTCATGTTGAATTTTTAAAATTCACCATTAAGATTAATATGGAAAGGATTATTTTAAGAACTCAGTGCCTAAAATTTGATGAAAAGGCTAAAATAACTGCCTGAGTGCTGAGCCTTGGAAATAGGAAGTTTGATTTTGGGGTAGAGATCTTCCCATTTTTGTACTGAAATTTTATATAATTTCTTGCCTCAAATAGTTATTTCTGTTATCACAATAAAATTATAAATGACCTCCTGGTACTCTGTGGATAATTTTCTACTTTATGTAAAGTTTTATATGTGTTATATTTTCAATGCTTTAAATATAACTTTTTTTCTCTCAAATAGGTAATAAAAACTTTAGATCCCAAATTAAATCCAGCATCAGCTGAAATAATGCTACTTCGAAAGCAGTTAGCAGAGAAAGAGAGAAGAATTGAGATTCTGGAGGTAAAACTTCCATATTCATACTTATCTGCTCTTAATTATTCTGTGGACCCTGGTAATTAACTGCTATCATATGTTGCCATTAACATTGTTTTATAAAAAAGTTTCAGGTGTTGATATTTAGCACTTAGTGTGTTTATTACAAAGCATATCACTACCTCATTAGGTTTGTACATAGCAGTGTTTATCTATTATTTTTGTTGCCTTATAGTTCTTTCCTTCTATAACAGCTAATCATATGCATATCCCTGACTTTCTAATAGAATCCTGCTGTCATGCTTCTTTTTTAATTGGATGAATGTGATTTCATTCACAAAACTTGAAAAAAAAAATTGAGCTTATCTTCTAAAAGAGATACTGTGTTCACTCAGTTAACCACATTTATTTTATCTTTTCCCTGCTTCCCACCTGAACCCAAACAGACTTAGCTGGCATGTTTAGGAGAAGGTGATAAAGAATCTCAATAATTCCCTGAAGTAGTGACCTATTATCATACAAAGTTATATTAGTAATGGAATGGTTTTGTTGGTATTTTTGTGCTAGTGGTTCTATCATTTTTATGAGCTTGGGTAAAAGTGTCAATATATACTTGTATATTTTAGATTTTATACTTGGTCTTGTTCTAATTTATTTTGCAAAAAATTTGACAAAATTATTATTATTCTTAATACTGTGACAAGACTTGCAGCTATATACTTCTTGCTTGATAACATGTTAATTGTAGAGGCATGTTGAATTCTGTGCTTGGGCCCTGAAATTCTCAGAGATGGGTAGTTGCTTTCTTTGTATTACCCTCTTTTTTTTTTTCTTTGTTCTGGGAATCGAACTCAGGACCTTGCACTTGCCAGGCAGGCACCTGTACCAGTGAACTATGTTCCCAGCCCAGTTGCTTTCTTTTTAAATCAACTAGGAATAGATAAAAAAAACCATTCTATTCATATGTCTTTTTTGTGGCATTATTTTTGAGCAGTATGGGCTGTGGTGGAAGTATTTTTGTTGAAACTTAAATTTGTCTAGCGGCTACACTATATTGATGTGCATTTGCTATAAGCGCTTGCTCAGACCATGTGCTGTACTGGAAAAAGCATTGGGAAGGGCCATCTGTCTGAAAATAGGCTATTGGTTCTTCGAGGCCTAACCCAAGTATCTTTTCTTCTGTTAAACTCTCCTTGTATTTCTTAGACAAAGTTTAGCATATCTCTCTATAATTGACCCTATGTACTTGGGACTCATGAATTCATTGTACAACCCCCCCCTTTTTTTTTTGACACATGTCTAGATATTTTGACAGCAAACTCAATATTTTACATTTCTGTATCCCCAGTTTAAATATTACATAAAACAGAGATCAGGATTGTATATAGTTTTATTAGTAACCTAAAAGCATCACTTCTCCTTTCTGATCCTCAGTCCTTACTTCTCTAAGAGTGACTTGACTGGATAATCTGAATGTCTTAGTATTGCTGTTTGCTTCCTATGGACAGCTAGTGAGAATGTCCTTCACTGCTGATGTTTGAAGTAGGTTCCCTAAAAGTATGACAAAATGTGCTCTGAGGAGAAACTTTGTTTTATTTAGAGCATATAAGCATTTAATTTTTGTGTATTCATCTGTACACACGCTATGAAAACAAGAAGAAGAAAAATAGTCTAAATAATGGAGGCTATTCTGTGTCTCCCTCTCCCTGTAAGCACATTTCTACGTGGAATGATGGGGACCTGACTCACATTACCTCCCTCCTTTGTGCTTGGTTCTTATATGGTTTTCTGTATTATCAGCATCTTGCTGAAGGAAGATGAAAATGTTTCAGGGTTATGAATTTATTATATGAGCCTGTGACAGCTGGTGTTTAGGAGAATTATTTAATTCAATTGATTGAATTATTTAATTCAATTGAATTATTTAATTCATTTCAATTGAATTATTTAATTCATTGAATTATTTAATTCAACAGAATTAAATATAGCTAATTAGTTGTAGTACAATGATTAGGGAAACAATATCTCTACAGTTGCACAGAAAGATGACCATAGGGAATCTAGTGTACAAACCGCCAAGAATTTTTTTTTTTTTTTTTTTTTTTTAATTTTAAAGAGTAGGGGCTAGGGATTTAGCTCAGCGGCAAAGTGCTGCCTGGCAAGCACAAGGTCGTGAGTTCGGTTCCCGGTACTGGAGAAAAACCAAAAAAAAAAAAAAAAAACAAAAACAATGATACAAAATTTTAAACCAAGGTAATAGGAGAGTAACAATGGTTAATACATTGTGTATGTTATCTTCAAAGCTCAGATTCCAAGCCATATGTATGAAAAATGGATCAAATAAGCACAAACTTTTTGATGAACTAAATAAAATTAGTAGTATAATTATCTTAACTGTCTTGTATATTTATATATATATTTTTTCTTTTTTCCATCCTTTCTTCCTTTCCCCTGTTTCTCCACCTTTTTGAACAGTTTCTTCCCATTTCACAGTATCTATTGTACATTTTGGATCTTATTTACTCTTTCAGTTTCTTACATTAGGGAGACAATATGATGTTTACACATGTGAGTCTGATTTATATCACTTATGTGTATAGTCTCAAACTGCATTGTTTACCTATAAAAGTCTCAAGTTTATCCTTCTTATGGCTGAGTAATACTCCATGGTATAAAAATACTGCATCTTTTTTATCCACTCCTCAGTTGATGGGCATTTGGTTGTTTCCATGATTCAGCTATGACAAATTGTGCTGCTGTAAACATGGGTGCACATATATTGCTGTGGTATGATGTTTTTGATTATTCTGGGAAAATACCCAAGTATGGTATAGCTGGGTTGAATGGAACCTTTAATCTTACTTTTTTGAGGAATCTCCAGACTGATTTCCACAGTGATTGTAGCAGTCTACACTCGCACCAACAGTGGAGAAGGGTTCCTTTTTTTTCCCCTCATCCCCTGCAGCATTCGGTATTAGTTGATTTCTTGATGATAGCCATTCTTTCTGGGGTGAGATGGAATTTCAGTGTTGTCTTAGTTTGCATCTCTCAAATAACCAGTGACGTTAAACATTTTTTCATGTACTTATTTGCTGTTTGTATTTTTCATCTGAGAAGTTTGTATTCATCTGATGCCCATTTTTAGATTGGGTTTTTTAACTTGGATTGGGATCTAATTTTTTTCATACTTTCTATGTTCTAGATAGAAGTCCTTTGTCTAAGGGACAATTGATACAGTCTAAGGGACTATATTAATTTTTCCTACTATATGGGTTTTCTTTTCACTCTTAATGATTTCTTTTGATGTGCGAAAGCTTTTTAATAAGGTGAAATCCCAGTTATTGATTCTTTAAAGTATTTCTCATGCAGTTTGGGTTTTGTTTATGAACTGTCTAAAGCTCTGTCTTCAAGATAATCTATCTACTTTCTCCTCCAGTAGATGTAGTGTTTCTGTTTTAATATTTAGATCTGTGATCCATTTTGACTTTAGTGCATGGTGATAGGTCTGGGTCTAGTTTTAGTCTTGGGCATGTAGAGAGCCAGTTTTTACAGCAGCATTTATTAAAGAGACTTTCTTCCAGTGTACAAGTTGAAAAGCCACCAAGAATTGAGAAGAATTTGTGCTAAGAATAATAGGTGGTAGTTTTTACTACCTCCTCTTTCTCCTTAGTTTTGACTCTTCACAGGTGTAACTTTGTTTTGATACCTAAATCAGGTTTTTTTCCCCTCAAGTTATGAGTGATAGTAGCATAAGAAGCACTAGGAATGTATATTGTGTGTGTGTTTTGAAATCACTTTCTACACGTAAAATTCCTGAGGTACTTAATATTCACAATTATGCATGTGTTTTTGCATGATTCTATTTACATTTGACTACTTTATGTGCCTCCCAGACACATTCTTTTATTCTTTAAACAGTGAGATAGTGAAGAAATGATTCTGTTTTGGATAATAAGGGGAATTTGAGAGATTTTAATTTTCCTTATACTTTTTTGCAGAGTGAATGTAAAGTAGCAAAATTCCGTGATTATGAAGAAAAACTCATTGTTTCTGCCTGGTATAATAAGGTGAGTTGAAGTTTAGCCAATGATTAGATATTTTGAACAGGGTTTATCAAACTTTTTTCATCAGGAACAGTGGAAGGAAACATTGTGTTACATAAACCAGGGCGCAAACATATATATATATATA